TTGGACATTCCTGCAGTACAAGTTGTCATCAACCACAACACTCCTGGCCTGCCAAAAATCTACATTCACCGGGTTGGCCGGACAGCCCGTGCAGGTGAGTGGGGAAGATGGCGTGCCATTTGTGGGCTGAAACTGGGATCCCAGTGCTGGGGCTGAGCCTGAATGGGCATGAGGAGGCTTCCCAGCAGCTGCAGTGCAGACTTCTCAGTCAGCACCAGATCTACTCAGATCACTGGCTCAGCGTCCTGCCTTAACACTGCAGCGATGGCTCACCCTGACTTGTCTCTGATCTGCACCAAGAGTTAACTGAGTTTTCAGAGTATATAAAGACCCCTCCAAGCACCTCGTCACCACAGTGTGCTAGGCTGACTCCTGGGGATGGATGGAATTTGGTATGGGTTAGGCTTCATCTCCCTGTGCTTGTCAAGATTCATATATCGCTGTGTTTTCATCACCCAGGTCGGAAAGGAATGGCTATTACACTGGTGACGCAGTATGACATCCATCTCGTACATGCTATTGAGGAGGAAATCAGTGAGTAGAGCACCATTAAAGCTGCTAAAATGTGCGATCATATCTGTGTTCCTTTGTGCTTGTAGTACTTGCAGCTCTGATTTCATCAGTGCAGGATCAAACATAAGAATGGTTTCTCTTCCTTACTCTCCATAACTTTTGTATTAAAGCATGCAGCTTCTTCCTCACTTCTTTGCTGCCGTGTGTGCTGCTGTTGACAAAAAGAACAGGTTGCTTTGCATAGGTTCAGATTTCATATTTTTAGGAAGTAGATCTAATAAATGCAACATCTTGTGCTGTGGGGATTCGTAGGCAGAGGGGAGGGTTTAATCCTGTGTTGAAGACTGAAGAAGTTACAGTGAACATTGCATATTACACCAATTTTACTGATAATCAGTGGAACTATATCGGGTTTTTTGGTAACTGAGAATCTGCCCCTGGGTTTTATAACCAACCATGGTCTGTAAATGTCTCACCCTGATTTAGAACTGAAGCTGCAGGAGTTCTCGGTGGAGGAGCAGTTTGTGCTTGACATCCTCACCCAAGTGAACGTCACCAGGAGGGAGTGTGAAATTGTAAGTGTGCGAACATGAAGCCCCTTTGTTGAGAGGACTGGAGATCTCGGGCAGCTGGGTGTAACCAGGGGATTCGTTGCAGTCTAATGTGCAGCTCTGGATATGCAGCTTTGCTCTTGAGGACATAAATAAGAATTTTTGTTCCCTTTCCTAATGGAAGCACTTGGACGTGTGTGTGTGGAGAGTTGTTTTAGTGATCTTCCCTGGGTTTGCTCTATTATTGCACATTTTTGTAGCATTTTTATGCTGGTACTTTGTGGGGAAGGTCTGCAGGGTAGCAAATGTGTGCACACTGGAGAATCACAGAATATTAGGAGTTGGAAGGGACCTCTAAAGCTCATCCAGTCCAACCCCCCTGCCAGAGCAGGATCACCCAGACCAGGTCACACAGGAAGAGGCTCACAGGAGAGGTTCTGCTGACCCTTTATTGCTGCACTGCTTTTCTCCGTGTCAGACTCAGCGCTTGGTTACTGATTGCCCTGCTGTACTTTTGCTTTGACAGGAACTGGAGGGAATGGATTTTGATGAGAAGAAAGAAATAAATAAGCGGAAACAAATGATCCTTGAAGGGAAGGTGAGAGTTGCTGCTATATAAACTACTTTGTTTATATATCAGTGCCTGGTATAATGCCATCGATGCGGAAAAGGAATGGCAGTTCCTCCCTCACTGCTGTGCTGTGTCTGCCTCGCTCCCCTTTGCACGGGGGGAGTTTTATCTTAAAAGGTGACTGATATTAAAAAGTGCATTGGATTAGTGCCTCACTTCTGCACCCTACTCAGTCATGGGCTAGAAAGTGGCGTGGGCATCTAAGAAAGGCAAAGGGGCTGGCACTGTCACTAATGTGCTGGCATTTGCCATTGCAGGATCCTGATCTGGAGGCAAAAAGGAAGGCAGAGTTAGTCAAGATCAGGAAGAAAAACAAGCAATGCCGTGAGAAGATCCAGCAGGCACTGCAGAAGAAAAAGCAGCTGCAGATGAAGAGGAAACTGCAGAAGAAGATGGAGTGGCGGAACAAACTGCAAGCAAAGGAAGAGAAATAAATCACATCCTTTGGCTTGCTTGGCTCAGACTGCCCTGACATTGCTGCTGCTTTGGGAATACTGGGATCAAACGCATTTGAACATAGACACTTCTGACCCAAAATCAGTGTTGGAGAATGTGGGGAGGAGAGAAGGGATGCTTTGATAAACCATCTCTGTTACTTTTCCTTCCTGCATGATGCTGCTCGTTTGGGCCATTCCTGGCAGGCTGGGTCAGTCTCCTGGAAGTGTCTTTCAAGAGCTCGTTTCCTCCCTCCAGCAAAGGAGAGGCCAGACCTGAATTCTTGTTGACGTGAAGGGAAATAAAGATCCTCTCACTTCCCCCTTCATTCAGTCATTGCTCTTTCCATTTCAAGGGCTGGTGCTTGCCACTCACACTTGTTTATATCAACAGATTCTCCTGTGAGCCAAAGTCTAAAAATACTGTGACAAAATGAGCTCAGTCCCTATCTGTGCCACAGCCCAGAGCTTTCTGAGAGGAAAATTCCTGGGACACGTGGGGAGGTTTTATTTGGGGTCATCTTGGGATAATTCTGCTTTATACATCCAAGTGATCCTCTTGCCTGCGATTGTCTGCCTTGACTTGGACTCCAGCCCTGGGCTGCTCTCGACAGGGAGAGTGGAGTCATGGTTTGGAGACCGGGGCTGCTAGGGGCTCTCCCAGGTGCTCAGTCAGCTCTAAGACCATTTCAGGTCCCAGGAGCAGGACTGTCTTGCTTCTTGGACCATCCAAGAGTAACCAAAGCGGTTTATATTTGGGTCTGCTCTGTAGGTTTCTGGGGTACCCTGTGTCATGTATGTTTGCAACAGGAGGTTGGTTGGGCTGGAGGGGGCTATGCTTTCCTAAGAAATGGTTGTGCTTCCTTACAGAGCTTAAAATCACAGAGCAGCTCAGGCCAGAGTTTGGCCAGCTCCATTCTGACACCAGGTTTGATCCTTGCTGCCTTTAATGGTCAGAGTTTTCTATGCCTTGAGACTGAAAATCTGTTATTTCTGTCCTCTGGCTTACAAAAATAGTTACTGTGGTCAGCACCTAAATAAATAATGCAACAAGTGACTGAATGTTTGATCTTGTCCAACATATGGGGGAGTTGTGGGATCCTGGGGGTGAGGAGCAGTGCTTGTGTGGGCAAACAGCTTGGACATAAAATCAGTTGTATTTCAAGAGACGAGCTTATGGATTGAGCTTCTTGTGGGTATTATCCCTCAGTCCCTTCATGCACCCCGAGCCCAGCTCCTGTCCTGGGAGCACGGCATCCTTGTAGCTCCTTTGCCTGACTCAAGTGTGGTCTGTGCACAGTGGAGTTTTACAGAGAAAAGGTGGTGTTCCCTCTGGAAACTCCTCCAGCCGTGCACAGATGTGGGTTTTGGGAGATGTGGGTCCATCTGCTGCCCTGGTACCACCTCTGAGATGCCCAAACGTGCTCCTCATTGCTTTGTCCTCTTTGGTGCCCTCCAGGATGGAAAAAGCACCCAACCGCCTGCCTGCTAGCACGGTTTGCTGTCACCAGCAGCTGCTGCAGCAGCAAATAGGTTTGTATCAGACTGATGCCTTCGGAATACTAAATGTTCCTGCAGCCTCGTACATGCTAATTTGTGGAGCAAGCCTGTTAGCTGTAGATTCAAAAGACCCCCTCTGTGGGACAGGCTGTGCCTGCCTTCCTGAGGAGGGTGTTTTGAGTGTCAGCTCATCCCTCCCTCGCACAGACACTTGGTAACCCTGAAGTCTCTTTGCTTCAGCCCGGTGGGGGTTTCTCTGTTCATCTCCTTCCACGTGTGACACGTGGGGTTTGATCAAGGCTCTTGTCTTTAAGCTTTATTCAAAATTCCTTTTAACACATCTCTTGTCTTTCTTGAGCAGCCTTCTCTGTGAGGGGAGGACACGTGCTGGAAATGAGAGCGCTCTGTAGCACTGACTGCATGTTCTCACTTCAGATAATCAGTTTTGGGAGTGGCCAAGTAGAAAAAGAGGTTTCTGTGCTAGCTGGGATATAGAAAGATGCCTTAAAAATCCCACACTGGAAATTTATATCTTGCCCAGGGTGAAAGGACAAGGGGTGACATTTCTGTACTTGCTGTCATCCCAAGTAGGATATTGCCATAAACCTTTGGGATCCCGGAGGAATACGAGGACTTCCTTTTCGTCACAGCCCAGACTGCGTCTTGGCTGTAACACCACCCTCCTCTCACACAGCTTTGCCTGTCGGTTCTCAAACCGGCGCTCAAACGCTTCCCTGGCCACGCTGTGCAAGATGTGGCCTGAGCACGGCCCTTTTCACGCCCCGCTGTGCCCCAGCGCATCCATCGCCTCTCACTGCACGCCTCCACGCTCTCCCCTCCTTCAGCCCAGCTCTGGGGGG